TCTACAAGTCAGAAAGAGAGACCTCGCCAGAACCCACCCTAAATGGCACCTTGATTTTGGACTACTAGCCTCTAGAACCTTGAGAAAATAACTTTCCGTTAAGCCACCCAGTCGGTGGTATTTGTTATGGCCGTCTTAGGAAACTAATGCAGTACCGTAATTACTCATTTGCTTTATCCCAAAATGCACACACAATAACACCATTGCTGCCGCTAATAATATGATTACTGTAAATAGTTTAAAATTTTTTATGTAATGTTTTGTTCTTAGATTATATATTATTAGAGATAAACAGTTAAATTCCTATGTCTTAAAGTCACTTTGACTAGTTTCTTTCCATGTGGTTATGCCACCATTTAGATCCAAGTTAGGATTGTTTCCTTTCACTTTTCATTTTTAGAGATAGCTTTTTAATTTTTTTTTTTTTTGCGGTACGCGGGCCTCTCACTGTTGTGGCCTCTCCCATTGCGGAGCACAGGCTCCGGACGCGCAGGCTCAGCGGCCATGGCTCATGGGCCCAGCCGCTCCACGGCACGTGGGATCTTCCCAGACCGGGGCACGAACCCATGTCCCCTGCATCAGCAGGCAGACTCTCAACCACTGCACCACCAGGGAAGCCCCTTACTTTGACTTATTTAATGCTTTTTGACATGAATCCTTTTTGTCTGAAATAAGTCACCCCTGCTTTCTTTCTGTTTGTCTGAAGAGAGAATCTGAGAACCTCTGATGGCTCCAGGACCCCCTTTCCTGATGTACAAAAAGAGGTAAAAACAACACCCTGTGGACCAGCTGAACTCCAAGGGAAATTAATGCACTGTATGTTTCAAATGCTCATTGTGCAGGAAAAAAAGAGGATATATTGGTGACTCCTCCAGGATGCTGAAATTGCAATTTTTCTAGGGCCAGAAATTGCATATCTGTCAGCCAACTTAGAAATCTCCTACAATGTCCAAACATCAAGACTGTTCCCCAAGTGGGTGCACTTGGGATTCACCCTGGACTGTGTAAGTGACCCTCTTGGGAAGCTGTCCCTGGTGCCAACTGTGATATGAGATAACTGGACAGGTTCCTAACATAGCTGAGGGAGCAGGGTGAGGGGTAAGGTGTAGGAAGACCTGGCTCCTGGGTGTCCAGGCAAGAAGTTCTGTTTCCCTCAGGCCCACTTGCTTCATTTGATTGGCAGAGATTTGTGACATCCTCATCCATTCCCACTTAATCCTAGTCCTGGAACTGAGGTATGGGAGTGCAAGATACTTGAGACAGGTCATGATGCTCTTAAAATGGGGCAGAGCCTTGAGAAGTCATCATTGCCATGAAACAAAACCCAAAACAACATTCAGGTTTGGCTTCACAGCACCCGGATATGGTGGCAAAATAAGAAGCAAGCAATAATGCAGTAGCAGAACCCTGGCTGAATGGCAGGAGCCCTGTGTGTGATGCCCTGTCAGTGTTACTGGCTTGCCATGTTCACTTTTCTTCATGTGAAAACTGGGCATGGGCAAAGCGGGGAGCCCCTCACTTCTCAAGAGCTTTCTGCAAACGGGTGAGAAAAATGTGCTAGTCTGTGAAGTGCTGAGAGCTCTTTGGAAGAAAAATGTAGTTTTTTTATAAAAGACAGAAACAGTACAGCTGAGCTGTAGTGGAAACTGGGATTGGCCACCAGGTGCCCCTTCCATTTCAATGCTGTTGGCTGGTGACCTTCAGCTGCCCCCCTGCAGAGAGCCTCCCCACCCAGGTTAGCCCTTGCGTCCAGGTGGCCCACATCCAGTGACTGGTCAGTAGTGCGTATAAAACTCTTGTCACTTTGCTCCAACTCAGGAAACCCTGAAGGTCAGTCTGGGTCTGAAACTCCCGGGGAGTCTTCTGAGGCCTTCCCTGTGATGACTCAGCCAGACGGCTTTTAGGTGAAGCCCACCTACAACATGAGCTATGTAGAGCAGTGGGAATGATTTACTTCTTCTGTGTTCTCTCTCCAGAAATTGAAGCACATCCTCAATACAGGCATACCTCACTTGAAGGAAAAACCATTTTTTAAGATGTGGATTTTTTTTTTTTAAAGAGTTAACTTGGAGGGAAATTTTAACAATAGCTACCATCATTAATTTAGCACTTAATATGCATCAGATCCTTCTAAGTGCTTTACCTCCATTAGCTCATTTGATTTTCGGAACAGTCTTCTGAGGTAGAGACTACTATTAGCTTCATTTTATAGCTGTGGGAAACTAAGCTTGGAAAGTTTCAGTAATTTGCCCAAGTCCACATCTAGGAAGTGGCTGGGTAAGATCTGAAACTCAATTCTGACTGACTCCAAAAAACTGGCAAATGAACAACCACACAATACCACATCTTGGAACTACGCTACAGCATGCTTCCCTGTAATTCCTGTGAACAATGAATTCTTTTGTAGCACTGAGAGAAGAATTGGATTTGGAAAAAAAGGAGGGTGAATATATTTTCTAGGAAAAAAAAAGGGATACTAGGTACTGCATAAATATTAAACCCTTCCTCTTGGTCTATTTTCTTCCATGTCCATGAAAAGAACTGGAAATAGAATAAGAAGCATTTTCCCAATATTCAAATACATCAGGAATTTATAAAATATTCAAGACAGTAGCGTCCACAGAACAGTGCATCTTGAAAATAGGCCTTATCTGTTGCCCAAGAGGTAGGGGGTTATTTACAACTTCCGTGACCTCTGTGGTTTCCGCAGACAGTGTTAAGCAAAATAACTTTTAGCTCATTTTTAAACCTCTTCAAAAGAGAGTTTATCCTATCAAGGCTGTCTTCAGTGTTTCCATCCCTCCTGCCTGAGCCCTGCGTGTGTTCCTCCATCCTAAACGTGCCCACCTTGGACTGTGCCCTTGGAAGCCCTGCTTGCTTCAGCAGCTGTTTTATCCCCTGAAGAGATCCAGCTCCCAGCCTTCAGCGAGCAGAGGCGAATTTGCCTGCATTTCCACAAGGGCACTAAGACCCCCCCTCCCCGAGCCCACCCCCACCCCACCGCCACCCCATACCAAGCACCACGGGATCAAGGGTCAAGTTAGCACCTCGCTCTTTCTTTTTTTCTTTTTTCCTCTTGGTCACACAATGCAGCTTGTGGGATCGACCAGGGATCGAACCCCTCGGCAGTGAAAGTGTGGAATCCTAACCACTGGGCCCCCAGGGAATTCCCAGCATCTCTCTTTATTAATTCCTTTCCATCCTCGCTGGGAATTTAAGTAACACACAAAGCACTAGTTGGGCAGCATTCCAAAGAGTTTTCAACCACTTTTAAGCCCTCATGCGCCCCGTCAGACACCGCAGGCCAGATCCCGGTCTCAGGCACATCATTCGCGTCTGCCTGAACAGCACCAAACTCTCTCAGGCCGGAGGCCTCATTCTTAGATCACCCAAGCTGGTCCTGGACCCGAGTTCATCTCCTCGTCCAACACCGCGAGCTCCGTGCCTGAGCCATGCTTTCCTCTGCGTAAGCTCACAGCCCCTGGCCACGCCCTGGCGCCCTCCAGGTGCCGCCCGAGTGGTTTGAGCAGCCTGCTTTGTCTGATCTTTCTATTTGTCCAGCCCCACCGGGAACGACGTGCTGGCTGCTGTGTTATGCTAACAAAGGATGCTCAGCAGGGGTCACGGGGCCACAGGAGACACTGAGCCAGGAACTGGCTGCGGGGGATGATGAGTGCTGGCTTAGCTTTAGAGAGCTTTCTGGGTGAAGCTGTTGACTGGAGACCTTCAGGTCGTCGTGATTCAGTGTTATAATAGTGGCAGTGCTCACTTATATCAAGGATTGATTGTGTGCCTGGAAGCCTCCTGAGTGTTTCACCTACATGACGGCACTTAATCTTCCCAAGAATACTGTGAAATAGGACCAATAATATCCTCGTTTTATGGATGAAGAAACAAGTTTAGAGAGGTATCTTGCCCAAGGTCACAGAGAGGGGCTGAGCCAGGATTCACACTGGTCTGTCTGGCTGTAGTGTCCATCCTGGACCCACGGCTGTGCTGCGGATGCTGTGTTGGTGGCCCATGGGCTGGGTTGTGTTTAGCCTGCCAGTATTTTGAAAGACATTTAAAATGTGAGCCAATATTTTAAATGCAAGAGATTTCACTTATAAACACATTCAAAATTCTACCATCTTTTAAAAATGGGTCTGTCTGGCAACATTGGGCCCTCAGTCCAAAGGCTCCCATCTATTGGAGATGAGTATTAGCTGCCCGGTTAGATGGGGCCTGTGCTCCCAGTTTCCACAGAACCTAGTCCAGCAGGCCGGTTCTGTTCACCTACCTGTGCGACTCCCATGTGCTCCTGAATTGCCCAGTCCTGTTACACAGCCCTTATTCCATGGTTTGGGGGCGGTAGGTTTATGCCTGACGTTGTACTGCCTTGGAAACAGAATTTGGGGCTAACACTCCTGTCCTCGATGAGGAGCAGAGAACACAGATGGAGGCTGGGGATGGTTCGGAGCAACATGGCGGGTTATTAGTTTAGGGTTGGTTTCAGTCCGTTCATCTCCAAGGCAGGTGGCAGGATGAAGGGGTGGCATGGAAAATGCTGGAAAGTGACTGTGGACCTGAAATTTACTCCAGGTTTTCCCACAGGCTAGTTGTGTGAGCCAGGTTGAGTCACTTTTCTCTGCACCTATAAAAGGAAGAGATTGAAGTTGATAAGTTGTAAGACAGGTGTCAGCTCTGAAACTCTTCTCTGCTACTGCTTGTAAGTCAGATTTTCACATGAGAGGACAGACTTCGGGAGCATCTATTTATTTATTTATTTATTTATGGCTGCGTTGGGTCTTCGTTGCCGTGCGCGGGCTTTCTCTAGTTGTGGCGAGTGGGGGCTACTCTTGGTTGCGGTGCGCGGGCTTCTCATCGCAGAGGCTTCTCCTTGTTGTGGAGCATGGGATCTAGGACCGCGGGCTCAGTAGTTGTGGCTCATGGGCTTAGCTGCTGCACGGCATGTGGGATCTTCCCAGACCGGGGCTCGAACCCGTGTCCCTTGCATTGGCAGGCGGATTCTTAACCACTGCGCTACCAGGGAAGCCCCGGGAGCATCTCTTAAGGAGGGGGACACGTCTTTGTAAACTGCCTTCAGTGGGTGCAGATGAACGGGTAAGCAGCAAACGACTCTGGCTGGCTTAGCTTCAGAGCCGCGGAGAGGCCACAGACCCGGCCCAGTGAAAAAAGGTGTGGCCTGAGTCACTGGAACCTTTTGGATATCAGAGCTTTCCTTTATGTTAGTTCAGGGGTCAGGTTGGGGCTTGGTTCTTTATTTAGAACACCATGATAATAATCACTGAAAACAGTCCTTGCCAGAACAAATATCTCACCCCAAACAATATCACTGGGAACTATATTAGATGGAATTGCACATTCTTTCAGTGCATTCAGAGGAACTCACAGGACCTGTATCATTTTCTACTCTCTCTCTCTTTTAAAGGACACACCGTATCACAACAAAGTAAACCTATTTCTCAAATTAGAGTAGCCACGAAAATAAATAGTTATGTAACAGATTGCACTAAAAGAAAGAAAGATACGTCAAGAGATCAGGCATGGTCCAAGAAAAACCCTCATAATACATTTTTTTTACGTGCTTTTTTGCACTTCTGGGGTCTTGTAATTCCTTCTGGCCTGTCAGCATCTCTCAGTATGTTTCACTGGCTTCTCAGAGTTAACCCTATTTTCTCTCTGGCAAAGGTGGTATGTACAACCTGAAATTCAGTTGCTTGTCTGAAAACTTGATCTCAGGTATGACTTCCCAGTGCCCCCCAAGCTTCGGCAGGTTTGAGGGTAGACGTGGGGGTGGGCACCTATAAGAAATAAGTGCCCTCTTCTGCGAGCCAGATACCAATTAAGGCTCTGTGAGGCCTCTATGAAGAGGTGAACTTGACTGAGACTGCACCTACTGGCTTGACTTTATAGAAGCTTGCCTCTATATCCAGGGCCCGCTGACTTTCAAGCTTGTGCTAGAGCACATCACTTATTAGAATGGAATTTTAATTCCATAAGTCTAAGGTATGGATGGAGAGAGAGTCTGTGTTTCTAACAGCTTCCCACGTGATGCTGATGCTGCTGGTCAATGGACTGCATTTTGAGTCGCAGGGTCCTACACTAGTGGTTCTCAGAGTGTGCTACCAGGGCCAGCAGCGTCAGCATCACGTGGGAACTTGTTAGAAATGCACCTTCTTAGGCCCCACCCCAGATCTCCTGAATCAGGGACTCTGGATATGTGACCCAGCAATCTGTATTTTAACAAATCCTCTAGGTTATTCTGGTGCATGCTAGAGTCTGAAAAACCACTGTCTATACCGCTGTTATGGGTTGAATTATATACCAAAGATATATTGAAGTCCTAATCTCTAGTACCTGTGAAGGTGACCTTATTCAGAAATAGGGTCTTGGTAGATTCAATCAAGTTAAGATGAAGTCATTAGCATGAGCCCTGATTCAACATGATAGGTGTCCTAGTAAGAAGATGACCATATGAAGACACAGATGCGCAGGGAGAAGATGGCCACGTGATGAGGGTGGCAGAGATTGGAGTGATGGATCTATAATTCAGAGAATGCCGAGGATGGCCAGAAAAAAACAGAAGCTATAAGAGGCAAAGAAGTATTCTTGCCTACATGTTTTAGAGGGAGCATGGCACTGCCAACACCTTGATCTTGAACTTCTATCCTTCCCAACTGTGAGACAATAAATGTCTGTTATTTTAAGCCACCCAGTTTGCAGTACCTTTTTATGGCAGCCCAAGGAAACTCAAACAACCATGAAAAGCTTTCCCTGCTCTGATAGAATGTCCCTGTGTTGACAGGGCCCAGATGCAAGATTTTGACTGACGGGTAGCAGGATACAGGGAAAGAAGTGGAAGAAGGTAAAAAGGAAACAGGAAGCAGTGATAATGTGTGGTCTGAGGTATGTATGAGTTTAATGGTTTTTTAAAAATACTTGTAAGTTAATTTAACAAACATTATTGAGTCCTTACTAAGTGCCAAGATCAGTTTGAGGCCCTGGGGATACGACAGTGCTCAAGACAAGATCCTTTTCCTCAAGAAGCTTCATTAGAAAACAGGCACTACCCATTCAAGGGTAGTTGCTACTCTGGGGAGAAGTACAGAGGACTATGGGAGTGGGGCAGCCATAGACAGTTTTGCAGGTTGTATATTATGCAGCATGTCTCTGACGTCAGTGGTCTTCCTTAGGGTCCTGTGGTGCACAATTGCTCAACTGAACATGGTTACACCATTGGGAAGATATAAGAAGAACATTTACTTCATTCTTGAGGGGGAAGAAAAGCTTTCCAAGGGAAGTAGGACCTAAACTGAGACCCGAGGAGTGAGCGGAAATTAGTCAGGTGAAGGAGGCTGAGAATGGGGAATTAGAAAGGAAAGTGTTTAGAAAAAGAAAAGAGCATATACCAGACTGAAGGATGTCCAGAGCATCTATGAGGTGTGCATCCAATCAAAGACTCTGTAGAAAAGAAGTTAACTATTAATTAAGAGGATCATCCTTTCATTAGAGCCTAGAGTCCTCCAGTTAAGTCCCATTTTGTAGCAAGACTTTCTTTCTTTGGTTACTCAACTATCCCCCAGAGTAATTAAGGCTTGTAAGTCCTAGTCATAAAACTGATGCAATTTGCTTCAGTGGTGGCGTCTATTGGGATAAAATAGGGTAGGATAGGATAGGATAAGATAGACTAGAATAGGTGTCAGTGCTGTGTTTAAAGTGTTTTTGTGTGATAGACTAAAAAACTGTAATCTCAACTTTCTTCTCTGGCCAGGGGTCCTCTCCTTTTCCTCCCTAATGAGGGTCAGGAACTTGGGAGACCATATTAAAGCTGGCTTGTGTTTTTAATGTATTCTCTTGGAAACCTGAGACTGTGCAAAGTCCATTCACATAGAGAGGAAGAACTAGCTCAAGTTCTACCCTTGGAACTAGAAAACTAGTCTTCCCTTTGGTGCTAAGTGTGAACTTCTAACTGCGTGGCCCAAGCTGAGGGCTTGACACAAGCTTGGACGAGGCAGCCACAGCTCGCTGGGGGTGGCCATGAGCCCATGGCCAGCTGGCCAGGCTGCTCCTAGTGACACAGGTTCTCCAGAGTGTGCTCAGTGCTTTTGCAGCAGCACACAATAGTGTTCAAGTGAGAGCAGGCTACACTGAGCATTAGGGTTGCAGACTGGGCATAGGGGTGAAGGGGAGGGTGGGGTACCAGGGGAGGCCCAGAGGGCAGCATACAGGTGGAGAGCAAAGGAGTAGGTCACAGTCCCACACCTCACCTAGAGGGGTAAGCTAGTGTTGTTTGCTTATTTCTAAGCTTCAGATTCTTTTAGGACCAACTGATGACATTCCCCCCTAACATCAGAAATGCCAGGGGTGGAAGAAACCTAAGGGTCGTTATGTGCAAGAACCCTCAACTCCTGCCCTCCACCTCCTCCAGAGCTTTCCTGCCCTGCAGCCCACCAACACCTAGGCACATGGGACACAGTTACCCCTTGACTCAACAACACAGCTCTGTCAGCTAGAGCTTTCCCTTTGAACTGAGTGAAAACTGATCTTTCTGTAGCTTTCTTCCATCTGTTGTCCTTTCCTTGGAGAATGTTGGCTTTTGTTTTTTCTTTGCTCCACCACAACCTTGCTAGGTGACCTTGAGCAACTCACCTTGTCTTTCTGGGCCCGTACATTCTCTGCCTGTCTGATGGGATTTCTGGCAAGATCAAATAAAATGATTATATGAAAGCACTTTGAACAAGTAGATTATCCCTAGAACATAACAAGTCCTGGTGGTTATTGGTGTGTTTGGCATTACCATGTTTTGGCTCTCTGTGACCGTGACCTCTCTGGGATCTACCAGCTGACTCTGAGAAGAACAGCTTACATTCAGTGCCCAGCAGTCCCTGAGTGAGTCCCTCATTGGTCTGAGCTCTCCAAAATGAAGGAAATGAAAACAACTTGAGGAATCTGAAGCATTTTGGACCATATCCCAAAACATAGCACTAACAAATAATGTACATCCAAGTTTTCTCAAAGGATGGGATCTTGTCCAGGTATCCCATCAAGCACTATGCCCTGGTGTATCCAAGAGCTCTTTAACAGTGGTGTTTACACATCCCAAACCAGCCATTGAAGCCACTTGAACTTCAGGTGGTACCTGCTTCATTGCGGCAATAGCATCTTCTGAACCATTGGTACTTGTGTCATTTCCCACTCATTGTCCCTGGGCCAATGATGCTGAGACAATGGAAACCATAAGAAAGTCCCACTGGTCCCAGTTAAGAATCCCCTTCCCTCTAACCAAAGGATCAGGGCCCACAACTACCTGCCAAGTTTCTACCCATCTGTAAAGAAATGATTGTAAAGGCAGTAAGTATTTTAATGAGTACAGATTCCTCAGTCTGGAAGTGTGTGATGCCTAGCCATGGACTGACTTCCATCATTCAATATTTGTTGAATGCCTTCTGCACTCCAGGCCCTGTGTGACATGCTAGGAAACAAGGATACATAAGCACAGCCCCTGCCCTCAGGAAGCTTTCACTGGGGAGCGTCTCTGACATCTGAACCATAAGTGCTTTGAAGGGCTGTAGGTGCTGTGACAGACTGAAGTGTAGGATACAATGGGGGACATAGGGAGGAAGGGATCTGTGCTGTCTGAACAGGGTAGGGTGGGGTAGGGTGAATCAGAGAAATGGTTATATAAAAGTGATATTCAAAGTTGAGTCTTGAAAGAATGGGTACTCAGTGTATGGTTAGGGACCTGAGGCAGTTAACCATTTATCTGAGGTGTAATCTCTAGTCACACATCAAGGCTGGCAGTCCATTGGATGCAATCTGATTTCTCCATTGCCTGGCTGAGGAGTAGAACCAAGACCTCAGCTCTGTGACGTTCAGTGTCAGCTGCCACCTTCTCAGTTGGAGGTTATTTTCTTTGTGCTCTCATGTCACTTTCTGAATTCCACTCTTACAGGACTTGCCCAGTGTAGTAACTGCATATGTGTCTGTATCCCCACTTCTCCAATTAGGCTGTGACTGTCTTGAGAGAAGAGTCTAGGTTTCTCTTGACTTTGTTTCCCCTTCATTAAACAAACATTTATTGGGTCCTACTAGTACCAAGCCCTGTGATAATACTGAAGATACAGTATCGAATAAGACAGACATGGTTTCTGTCCTCATGGAATTCCCATTCTAGCAGGGAAGATGGTCATTGGACAAATAATCAATTACAAGTGTGATCAGAGCTTTGAAAGGAGAAGCCCAGAGTGGTGTCACAGGGTAAAACAAAGGTCCTGATCTAGTCTGGGGATCCCAGGAAGGTGCCCCCAAAGGATGTTTAAGCGGGAAGACACTTGTCATCAACTCTTGCCTGACTGGTTTTACCCCTTGCTGCCATGCTCTCGTGCTACCCGCTAGTTCCAAATTCTACAAAACCCCCATATTTATCTTTCCCTTCTCTGCCTGTCCCCTCCTCCTTCCCCTCCCCTTTCTTCTTCTTCTTCTTCTCCTTCTTTTTATCATCCTCCTCCTCCTTCTTCCTCTTCTTCTTCTTCATAAAACACCAAGATTTGTCTGAGCAAATTGTCATCCAGGAAGCAACCACATTTCCCAGCCTCCCTTGCAGCTAGGAGGGACATATAACTACATTCTTGCTACTGGAATGTGAGTGGAAGTGATGTGAACAATGTCAGTACAACATTCTGTATAGAGAAAAGGGCTTGTACTCCACTCTCCATTTCCCACTGTGTGGGGAAGGACAGCCACTGCAATGGCCACCTTAAACCAAAGATGGGAGCCACTGCTGAGGATGGAAGAGCTGCCCCCATGCCTGTATCCCTGGATGACCTTAGGGAACAGTGCTATGTATCTGCTCTAAAACTCTCGCCTATCTGTGGACTTCCCAACAGGGAGAATTAAACTTCTGTCTTGATTAAGCCACTGTATTTTGTGTCTCTTTTCAGGGAACTTAAACCTGTAACCTAACTTACATATCCAGGGTGATGTCTTTAGCTTAGCTCAGGACCACAAAGGCATTTACCCAACTTGTCATTATCTGTGAATAGTTATAGCATGAGGTTTCTCTTGAACGATTTTCCAGTTTAAACATATCATGATCCCCATCTGGATGTCATTTCTTTTAGCTCTTCCTCCCTCTTTGCTCACTTGCTCCTTCTTTCATCGATCAGGTGCTCTAAATATTTGAAGGAGAATGGAAGTCATACAGTCATAGGTTTTTGTGCCAGGTCACAATGCCTTGGGGAGAATAGACTAGGAGAGAAAAGGGATGTGAATGAGGTTCTGAGATGAAGATGAAAGCCTTAATTACTTGCAACTTGGCTATTCACAGCTCTTCATTAATGAGAATGTTTCTACCACATCTTCAGGAAGAAGAGAACTGCAACCAAATAAGCTGTTATGAGAGATTCATTCAAAAAATGAATTTCCTAGGCTTTTGCTAGACTTTCAACCCAATCGGCTATTCTCCCACAGTGGCAGCCACAGCCCAGTGGGAGATGGGATGGGAATTTGTCATAATGGCTCTGAGGCTGTCCTTTCAACCCTGCTTTATTCCTGCTTTGTCAAAGTGGACACTTTCATATTATGGGGAAAACGGCTATAACATCCATTTTAAGGAACTTATGCTTAAGAAATAGTCTACAAATATACAAAGCTACATGTATAAGGATGTTCACTTTGGTGTTGTTTTCATTAGTGAAACATTGAAAACAATCTAATGTGCATCAATAGGAAGAAACTTAAATTTAAGAGTATGGTTTATCTTATAAAGAAAACAAAGGCAGCTACTTCAAAGGAGATAGGTCTGTATGGGCTGACCTGCAAAAATGTGCATGATATATTGTTAGCAAAATGATTTTTTTAAATAAAAACAAACAATGTTTATGTATATATTTTCATATGCCTAGAAAAATAGTCTGGAAGGACACACATAAAATTATTAATGATGGTTACCTCTGGGGAGTAGAATCAGGGGAGATGGGGGTAGATTTTCATATTTTACTCTGTATGATTCTATAGTGTTTCAATGTTTTTATAATAGTAGAAATTCACTGTGAGGCAGGGATCAAACTTATCCTGCTTATTGCCCTTTCATGGACAGAGTATGGAGTGGTCAACAATGACAACAATATTATTATTATGTAGGTTACGTAGCACTTACAATATAGTAGGCACCATCCTTTGAACTTTATATATTTTAATATATCTAATTTTCATAATTATGCTATGAGATAAGTACTGTTATCATCTCCGTTTTACAGATAAGGAGACAGAAGCACAGAGAGGTAAGCAAGCTGTCCAAGGTAACCAAGTGACGGAGCTGGGATTGAATCCAGGCAGCGCGGCTCCAGAGATTGCTCTTAACCACTCTATGTTATGTTGATTAGTTGATGGAATGAATGCAAGAATGTTAAATTTTTTTTTAATGTATTTTGGCTAAGTCTCCAATAAGTAGAAGAATCAATGAACTGGTAAAGTTCATTCCCAGAGCATTATGCTTAATCAAGGTTCTACCATTTATCTTTCATTGCAAGGTAATGGGCTGTTTATACTCAGAGCCTTCCAAAGGCTGAGAAGACACGGATGTTAACAGTGGTTGATGAGTGACTGGGAAAGGCTGAACATTTTGATTTAAAGTAAGTAACAGAATTAATCGCTAGCAAATTAACGGGCTTCATCTGTCATTTCTCTGCTCCTCAGTCTTCTGCCTTCCACCCAGAACAATAACAAGGGCACTGTGAGCACAAGCACGACTGGCCGGCTTTTCCTTTCTAAGCCCCCTGGGTTTGCAGCTTGTGCTTACATCTGGGGACCTGGAAATATAGGAGAGAATTCTGTACTCCAGAAGCATCTCTATGTCCTTAAGGGACCAATAGGACCCCCACCCCCACTCAGGGAAAAAGGCTAAAGCATAGATTGTGAGTTCTTGGAGTGGAGGAGCTAGATTTCATCACATTTGTGATGGTCATCTCACATGTGAGGGCCTGGCACATAGTACGTGCTTTACGCAGGACAGGTTATTGACACTCTTTGGTCAGGAGAAATTTTGATGGTACAGAGGAAGTTCTACGAAAAATAATAAACATTCTTTGATTGAAATAGTGTTTTCTAAATCTGAAAATAACGTTCATTCAGCAAACAGGTACTGAGCACGTACTCTGTGCAAAGCATGTTGGTAGATATAGGTGGATACAAGAGTCCCAGTCAAGGAAAAACACTCTCTCTCTCTCTCTCTCTCTCTCTCTCCTGCTCTCTCATCTTAAAGATTACTCAGAAGTAATGTTGTGGACATATGAAATGTGTAAACAGAATGTTTGTAGTACGTGCAGAACAATTAAAATTAGTTCTTCAGGACAGTTGAATGTCGTTTCCTGTCAGAGTGGAGGTTGGTTTATCTGTGCACAGTTGAGTTGAAGGTTTGTTTGCAGATAAGCACTCTTCCATGGAGAGTCAGAAGAAAATCCAACAGAAAGACGTGTCAACCTGTCTGATGGGACTAATGACCTATTAGAGGGAGGGGGGAAGGAAAGGAGATCTTAAATTAACAATTGTGCTAACTATTGATCTTTAATGGCCTTATAGAAAGGGCATAGAGCCCTATGTAACTGAGACACAGAACTGCGATGGAGTTAGGTACTCGGACAAAATGTGTGCCCCTCCCACTTCTGTCTTCCTCAGAAAGGATCTGCGCAAGTGCTGAAATTCTGAGCTGCCGCAAAACAGGACATCACAATTCTCAGATTGCTTCCAGTCAGAATATTAACACCTGATTGACTATTTTTCATGAATCTTTTAATCTTTGGGAAGACAGCATAGTGTAGGGGAGGCCTTGCTGTCAGACTGCCAGTGTTCAAAATTCATCAGCTGTGTAACCCTGGACCAGGAAACCTTATGTAGACAGTAATATATTCAAAGGGCACTGCTAAGATTAAATGAGATGATATATGTAAAATATGTGGCACACCATGAATCCTCAATAACTGCTAGCTGTTATCATGTTCCATAGAAAAAATAACAAGTAATGTGTGCAGAACCTTAGTTTACAAAGTGTTTCACATAAACGTTCCGGGATGAAGCACTGTCCTTAAACCTCTGGGCTCATACAGATCTGAGTTCAAATTCTGGCTCCCTCCTCACCAACCCTGCACACATGAGCAAGTCGGTTAACCTCTAAGCCTTACTTTCTCTATCTGTAAAATGGGATAATAACAGTACATCAGATGCGTAAGGTAGTCGTGAAGATTAAATTAACTAATTATGTAAGTTGTTTAGCACATACTAAGTGCTAGATAAATGTCAGCAATTATTTATCATCCCATTTCTCCTCCTAATAGCTCTGTTAGGAGGGACCTATGACCCTGTACGTCAGAGTTTTTCATGTGAGCTGGAAGCACCCAGAGCAGGACTGAGTCCACACTCCGTGCAAGTCCAGCACCTGGCTGAAAACATTGTCCGGTGGTGATGTAAGGGAGGTGCTGCAGAAAATGAGTTGGAAGCTTTAAGGAGACACATCTGTACCTGAGGCAGGAATGAAGATTCTAGCCCCAGAGGCCTTAAAGCCAGCAAGGGAGGTCTGGAGGGAGGACTCCATTTGAATCTGGAAGGGTGACACAGTAATCCCTTCACCTCCCTAACTGGACACATTAAAGTAGACCTGCCCTTTCAGTCTTCTCTTTGTTTATCAGGAATAAAGTGTGGGGAGATCAGGATAGGCTCCACATGTGTCCAGAGGGCTCTTAGCCATCCTTAGAGCTCTGCTGAGTGTGCCTTAAGTTAAAGAGAGTACAGGACGTGAACTCAAAGGGGTGGGGTCATCCAGGGCCTCTTGGATAAACCCCTGAGTTGTCACCAGAAGGCTGTGACTCAGCTCTGAGATCTGCTGAATCAGAGACGATTGTCTCGTTGCAGGCACCTGTAGCAATTGCAGCAAGAGACAGGAAGGGACTGAATTCTATTTCTGTTGATCCCGTCCTTCATGTCCCACCACCCCATCCGCTCGCCCACAATTCACTTTCTCTTTCCCCTTCCAGTTACCTCCCAAATCGTTCTTCCTCCACCTTGTATTCTCTCTCCCTAGAGATGCCTACTTGCTTAACTCTGTTTTGGAGTTCTGTGTATGCTTCATCCTCCACTTAGATCTTATGCTGATCTAGAGGAGTGTCCAAGAATGTCTATGCTTAGTGTGTACCTCAGTGTGTGTGTGAATATGTGTATTTGTGTGATTTAGATAAGTAGGTAACCGGGACTTAAACCAAATCATGACACTAAACATAAACATGCTGCTTTGCTAAACTAAGGCAAACCTGAAAGTTAAACTTTCCTTGAACCAAAATGTTTAGAAAAAAATGGCTTGGTTCAACTTAAGACAAGGCAATGGAATTTTTCAAAAATCACTTAATCTTTTAAGAAGATAATATATTTATAAGATGCAAAATTAAATAAATACATATCCATAAATATGTATTTTCTATCCCTGTCTTCCATGTGTCCAATTCCTCTTCACCTTCCCCAACTGGTAACCATGTTAACATTTCCTGTGGATTCCTCCAGAGGTTTTAAGTACTATACAAGTAAATACAAATTTACAATGCAATCTCTTCCTTTCTATACAAATGAGAGCATGCTATGCATTTTACTCTGCCTCTTACTTTTTTTTCCTCACTTTATAATCCATCTTGGAAATCTTTTAATTCATAAGAAGGGCCCTCATTCTCTTTTTACAACTACAGAGTATTCTATTGAATGGATGTATTATCATGATGGGCTTAACCAACCTCTTACTGGTAGACATTTATTTTTATTTATTTATTTACTTATTTTAGTTCATAGATTTTCTTTCTTTTTTTAAAATTTTTTGGCTGCGTTGGGTCTTCGTTGCTGCGTGCGGGCTTTCTCTACTTGCAGTGAGCGGGGGCTGCTCTTCGTTGTGGTGCGCAGGCTTCTCACTGCAGTGGCTTCTCTTGTTGTAGAGCACGGGCTCTAGGCATGCGGGCTTCAGTAGTTGTGGTGTGCAGGCTCAGTAGTTGCAGTGCGTGGGCTCTAGGGCACATGGGCTTCAGTAGTTGTGGCACGTGGGCTTCAGTAGTTGTGGCTCGCGGGCTCTAGAGCACAGGCTCAGTAGTTGTGGTGCACCGGCTTAGTTGATCCACAGCATGTGGGATCTTCCCAGGCCAACCGTGTCCCGGCTCGAACCCGGGTCCCCTGTATTGGCAGGCAGATTCCCAACCACTGTGCCACCAGGGAAGTCCTGGTAGACATTTAACTTGTTGCCAATTTCTTGCAGTAGCAAACAGTATTCCAATGAATTACGAATTTTTTTTTTACTTTTTTTTAAAAAATATATTTTATTTTATTTATTTGGTTGTGCCCTGTCAGTTGCGGCAGACGGGCTCCTTAGTTGTGGCATGCATGTGGGATCTAGCTCCCTGACCAGGGATTGAGCCCAGGTCCCCTGTATTGAGAGCATGGAGTCTTAACCACTGCGCCACCAGGGAAGTCCCTTTATTTTTACATTTTAAAGCACTATTCATTTTATACTTCAAGGTACCATGTCGCCTATTTATTTATTTACTTATTTATGGAGTAAACTTGCTTTACGATGTTGTGTTAGTTTCTGCTGTACAATGAAGTGAATCAGCTATGTGTATACCTATATCCCCTCCCTCTCGGACCTCCCTCCCACCAATTCTGATGGTTATTACTAAATTGCCCACCTGCAGGTGGCACAGACTGACACTTGCAACAGCAGTGTAGGAGAATGTCCATTTCCCCCTCCCCTGCCAACACCGTACATTAATACATCATAATTTTAATACCTAGGGTGGTTTTTTCCTAGCAACAAAGCTTGGTGTTTTCACTGTTTGTTTCATGTTGGCTTGTGGGAAGGGATAGGGTGGCCTGGCTCTGGGCTTGACCAGTGGGGGAGGGGAGGATAGCTGGCACTGTCCCCGGGGAGACAGCCAGGAGCCTTGGCTGGACACAAAGCCACCTCAAGAATCTCACCTGGTTCTTTGCTTTCTCCCTGGCAAGCCCTGCCAGGGAGACTTTTTTTCTTACTAATTTAATAGTGAAAATGGTATTTCATTGTATTTTGAATTTATGTTGCTCTTAATATAAGAGAGGTTGCTATTCATGTATTTAAAAGTTGCTTGTATCTCCTTTATCTGTGAACTGTTTCTTAACATTTTTGCCCAGTTTTTTTTCTGGGTAATTGGGTTTTTTCTTATTGACCTATAGGAGCTCTTAAAATATTAAAGACATTAAACTTTGTCTGTGAAATGAATTATAAACAACTTGCTCCCAGTTTGCCATTTGCCTTTTTACTTTGCTCATTGCCAAGCAATGATTTTTATTTTTATGGAATTTAAGTTTTAAATCTTTTACTTTATGCCATCTAGATTTTATATCACAGTTAGAAGGTCTTTTCTACTCTGAATTTATATAGGAGCTTTCTTTATAGGTTTTATTTTTTACCTTTCTTATTTAATTCATTTGGAATGGATCCTAGTGTAATGCATTTTACAATTTCAGTGAGAATCTGGAAGGTAGGGTAAGGAGGAAGGTCAGAAGGATGTTCCCACGTGGGTTGAAGGCTGGAATCAAACACATTCAGAAGATTCTCATAGCTTTGCCGTGTTCTTCATGTGTCCCTGCCCCTCCAACCACAGTCCTTTGGCTCAGAGGTGAGCATCTGACCCAAGATAGACCAATCAGAGCCCTTCTCCGAAATTTCTGAACTTGGGCCAGAAGAGAATCAAACAAGCAGCCGTAAAAGGTAAACCTTGGGAGTTCCACAGGCCAGACTTCCTTCTACATAAGCTAGCCAGGCAGCAGAGAAGGAATAAAACCAACACAGAGAAAAAGGCAGAGATGATGGAATACTACTCAAGAGTACAAAGGAATGAACTACAGATACACACAACAACATGAATCAGCCTGAGTGAGAGAAGCCAGACAAAAATAAGCACCTACCATATGATTCCATTTATACAAAACCCTTGAAAGTGCAAACGAACCTAGAGTGTCAGAAATCAGATCAGTCATGGCTGGGAAGAGGAGGGTGAGGAGAGGTAGAGTGGGGTGGGAGAGAGGAATTACAAAGAGGTGTAGGGAAAATTGGAGGTGATAGATATGGTCCCTGTCTTGAATGTGGTGATGATTCCGTAGGTGGGTACATATTCCAAAACTTTTCAAATTGTACATTTTAGATATGTACAGTTCATTTTATGTCAATGATACCTCAACTAAGCTGTTTTAAAATAAAGCAGAGATGAGGTGACAAATTAACCTAGAAATAAGTACAAATGAGGAATGTACGTATAGGAGGGAGGGAAAACAAGAGAAAGAACGAATTTAGATGGTATCTACTTCTCTCATTCTAGATGCCTGGCTGCATCTCCAGTTTGGTGTCTTAACCCAAACGTGGATTGTCAGGGTGATATATTTATCACTTTGCCCAAGCTGAGTGTCTATTCTTTGCAGACAGAATGATAGAAACATATTAGCCCTATGATTCCTTGTTTTTCCCTTTTCTTCCTTACCTTTCATACCCAGTTATCACTAAATACAACCAATGCCACCTGTAAGTGCTTGTTCTTTCCCATCCAGACCTGCTGAGAGTCCAGGCTCTCATCATCCTCCAATTAGACTCTTTTCAGGCCTAGCAACTGGGGTTCCTCCATCTTCTACCCTCCATATTGCTTCCAAAGTTGCATATTTAAGGCATAGATCTGATCTTTTCATGCCTCGTCTTAAAACAATACTGTCAACATCTCGTGGCAACACATCTCTCACTGCATCTAGCCACAGCATCCCTCTCCGGAGCATTCCCAGCATCCTCCACTACCCTGGCAGGCATGTAACTCCCACTGCACACCAGGCACACTTGCCCTTGAGTTCTCCTATCCTCTTTGTCCACATGACAAATTTCTAACATATTCAAAGACCAATTCAAACGTTATCTTTTTATAGCTTTTTTGACTCTCTCGGGCTGAATTAATTGCTCCTTCATTTGTGTACCCATAGCTCTTATCATCTCTGTTGTGATTGATGAGTCTGTCTTTCCCACAAGATGATGAACTTCTGAAGAGCAAGAAGTGTGTCTTATTCATCTTTATAAACCCAGAAACTAGCATAATTCACAAAATGTAGCAGATGCTTACTAATGTCTTTTAATTGATGTAAATTGAGGGAGTCAAAATAGACCAATGGTTTTCTCGTCTTTTTGAACACCCCTTAATACCACTCTTTTTAATGTTGGTAATTTAATGTTGCACGGAATCTCAATACATGTACAGAATTGAGATAAAGGTGGAACTGACATGGCTGAAGGAGGGATTAGTGAGTTTGAACCAGAGGCTATTTTCTCATTCTGGTTTTCAGTAGTTTTCTATCTGCATCCATTTATAATATATTTGCTTTTCTGCCACCTTCCTCTATTTCCTCATCTTCTTCACCACCTAAAGAAGACTCCACTCACCCTCTCTGGGAGCACCCATAACTCTCCTGTATCACCAGAGACCCCAGAAGACGACTCCCCTGTATTACCAGGTGCCCCTGCTCATAGCTTTCCAGTGCCGTAAGAAATTCCCAGTTGTCAGGGGGAAAAAAAGAAGGTTTTGGACAAAGAGATCTCCAATCACAAAGACAGATCTTATAAAGAGGCCTCTGGTTATTTGATTAAATTGCTAAGCTAGTTTCCAAAAAGTTAGATGAAAGAATCAGCATATCTCCAAAGTGCCGAGGAGTCTGGGAGTTAAGCCACTGCTGTTGGGTTCTTCTCCTATTAATCCTTCCTGCATGCAGAGTCTTAATTTAAAATTTTGAGTCTGTGGTCTTTTATTTCCAGAATTCCACTTTACAGAACTGATTCTGGTATTATTTTCTGTCTTGTATTATCCAAAGAATCACCATGTATTAATTTTCCCTGCAGTTTTATACAACCCAGTAGGTTATGTTTGGAACCCATAGGAAGCATTCAGAACAGTGTGGCATATAGAATTTATGATAAAGATAAAACAGAAGCAATTTCATTGTGTTTGTAGGCCAAATGAGGGCATTGGACGAGATGATCTCCAAGGCCTCCTCCAACCTTGTGAGTTTATGATTTCTGGGCAGACGAGCACAACAGCATAGGTTTCAGGTGAACTGTGTGAGAAATAAATTGTTCTTTGCACAAATGAATAGAGTATAAGCGCAATAAATCTCAGAAAGAATATTTCAGCAGAAAGAATATTTCAAAAATTATCTTCAGTGTCTCATTGTACGTACAGTTTCATTTTTGTATTTTTTTCTTACTTTCTTAGTAATGCCACTTGCGTGGGGTTTCAAGTGTCATTCAGCAAATGGCATGTCTACTTGTGATATCTTCCATACCTCCAGGACAGAGGTCATTAGAGTCATGGACCTAAGGACGTTTGGCAAGGTCAACAGGACTAAGTGAGGAAAGGAGAGGACTTTTTCCAGCTGCTAAAAATGCAGAAAGAGGATGTTTCAAAAGTTGGTCTGTTGATAGGAATTCAACATGTATATTAAAGTTTTATGGTTAGGTTACCAGGCTAGATCCCAAGAGCCATTTAACCCAAACTATGAGAGGATCATTAAAAGCTTTATTCTGAAATTTTGCCTCATATATAGCATCATTCTCTTGGAAAAAAATCCATTCTGGGGTCTCTGCTTCTATGCTGTGGACACATCTCCCTAAGCCTAGCAGTAGAACAGACCTGCAGTGGTGGGAACTATTGTGGGCAGTTGGTCTCAGTTACCCACAGTTCATCCAAGTTTTTCATCTGCCTAAGAGAAGGCAAACTTATTCCAAACTGGGGAACAAGGAAAAGTTACCTTGAAGGGTGGAGTTCTGAATGTTGACTCTCCCCATTCTTATGTTTAAATTATTCTACAAATCGAATATTCACAACAGACTGACTGTCTTTGCATTAATTTAGAATTCTGTTTTATGACCATGATTGAGAACTCAGGGTTTTTTTGTTCTTTGTTACAAATAGTAAGTGGTGTTATGTTCCTTGATTATAATAAATTTGTTTTTGAATTTCATTATCATATCTAAATTGATTATTATCCCAAATGGCTGTGAGTACCTGGCTATCAGTGTTTTTCTTGTAGCAGAAAGGAATGATCCAAATTTTTTTTTATTACTATCTTGTGGGTTTCTTTTTTAACAGCTGGAAGAGAAAAAAAGCACAGAATGACAAAGTGTATTTTGAACTAAACAGGAGTTCAGTCATTCATTCAACAAACATTTATTGAGTAGCAACTCTTGGGCTGAGTCCTCTGGAGTAAACAAAGATGAATAATTCACATTTCCTGCACTCATGGAACTTATGAATTATAGGAAATAAAACAGATAACTAAGTAACTCTACTAAAGGTAAAATGAGTAAGTACCGTAAGAAATGACAGAGTTCTTCGGACAACAAAGAATGAGGAGAAACATTCAGCTGAGAGAAGAGAAGTTTCCTGGAGAAACTGGTGCATAAACCGGTACTTTGTGGAGAAAAAGTATCTAAAAAGTGATGGGAAGGGGGTGAGTAGTAAAAGCTGAGGGCAAAGGAGCAAGCAACAGCCAGGTCACAGAAGAAGACCTTGTAGGATTTTAGAGTTAATTCTAAGGTATGTGGAGAACTCATTAGAGGCTTTGAATAGGAGAGTGTCGTGATCTGACTTGCTTTTTGGAAGGGTCACATTGCCTGCTTCAAACTCTGGAGAACAAGTGTGGCCATGGAAGGACCAGCTGGAGGTACTGAGATGGTCCTAGGAAGAGGTTATGGCGGCTGGGACATGGATAGTAAGAGTAGAGATGGTGAGATCTCCTGACCTGTGTTTTAAAGGTAGAAATGACATAACTTGCTGATGGATTAGCTGTGGGGTATAAGGGAGATTTCTAGTTTGGGGAGTTTTTTGTTTGTCTTTTGGTAGAAGGAATAATTGGACACATGAGATGAAGCTGATATAATATGATGGAAGCTAAAGTAAAGGGGGCTGCAGGGTCTTATGTGTCTCAGTATTGCTAATGCCTCGAACCATGATGGCACGTAGTAAGCTCTTAACAAATATTTCTTGGCTGAATTATTGAAAGACTCAATGCTACAGAATAGCTAAGGACTGGGAAGAGAAAACCTTGGTGGGGTTGGAAGTGTGTAGGGGCACTTTTGGTTGTCACGATGGCTGGGAGATGCTATTGGCACCTGTCACATCAAATCTCTTGAAGTCGCCACCAGGCAATTTTGGAGCCACTTGTATTTGGGCATGCTGTTCCCTCTTCCTGCAATGTTCTTCCCATCCCTGTGTCAATTGTGTGTGTTTTAATTATTATTATTATTGCAGCAACATGTATACAACAAAATTTACCATTTTAACCATCTTAAAGTATACAATTCAGTGACATTTTGTACATTCACAGTGTTGTGCAACCATTATCACTATCTATTTCCAGAATAGTTTCATCATCCCTAAGGAAACCCTGTACCCATGAAGCAGTTACTTCCCATTTCCACCTGCCCCCTCCCCATCCTCTGGCAACCACTAATCTGCTTTCAGTCTCTATGGATTTGCTTATTCTAGACATTTCGTATACACTGAATCATGCGGTCTGTAGCCTTTGTGCCCGGCTTCATTCACGTAGCATAATGTTTTCCAGGCTCATCCATGTTGTAGCATGTATCAGCACATCATTTCATTTCGTGGACGAATAATATTCCATCGTATGGATATACCATATTTTGTTTATCCATTCAGCCACTGATGAATATTTGGGTTGTTTCCATCTTTCAGCTGTTGTGAACAGTGCTGCTATAAATATTTGTGTACAAGATTTTGTGTGTAGCTGTTTTCAGTTTGGGAGGATAAATACCCAGGAGTGGAATTGCTGAGTTATATGGTAATTTTATATTTAACTTATTGAGGAAATGTCAATCAACTGAACACCTTTTAAGACAGACTTTCTGAAGTCTTTCTTGACCTGTCCTTTCCCCTTCCACCTGAGCTATCTCTCCTTCTGTGTATTACGACCGTTTCTGATGTACACATGTCTCCTGGCACCTGAACTTGAATTTAGTTCCCTTATATTACCCGTCTCCTGTTGGTGGCTTGTAAACTCCTTGAGGGAAGAACCCAAGCCTTATTTTTCTTTGTATTGTTTACTGCAACCCCATTTACCTTTGGTGAATTATAAGCTCTCAGTAAATCTTTGCTGGGAAAATGACAGTTCTCAATGCAGAAAAGAGTTTCAAACAGGGTGACTTTTCATCTGGGGAATGGAGAACTTTAGGTGCTACAAAGTGGTAATTGCTGTTTTTAACTGTAATTGCTGGGGCTGTGCTGGCACACTCAGATTGCTCTTATATTTATTTAGGCATATAAAGAGAGGACGTATGTATGTATATGTGTGGGGAAGAGGAGGCTGTATTATTTATGTTGCAGCTTTTTGACAGTCAGCTACATTTGCAAAATCTCTCTACCAGCCAAGTGACCTCAACCAATGTGGGAGAAACTTCTCAGAACTTCATCTTCAAATAAGCCTGAGTTGCTGGGCTTCTCCACTGCTATGCTATATCTGAAAATGCTGCATTTTATAAGCCATAGTTCTGCCTGGAGAGACTGAATTTTTGGCAATCTTGCAAAATCCCAGGGTTTTAATTAAATTGCTTTCAAAGTAGCTTTACTTAATGGGTCATAGGATAAAATGTTGAATTGACACAAAGCATTTCCTAATGGAGTGAAAACAAATGGGAGGTGACTTCTCACGTGAGCTTCCTGTAACTGGAACCACCAATCAGAGGTGTTGCATGAGGACTCCCTGATGGAATGCTTTTTGTGTCTGAGTCAGCACACAAAATTAAATGCTGAAAAAGTGTTGACTTTCCAAGTGCAAAAGCGTTGAGGATCAGACAGAGAAGGATAAGGCATGGCTTCTGCTCACTAAGAGCCTGTAGCCTAGCTGGGGAGGTGAAAACTAGACACATAAATGATAAATATCACTTTCAGACATGTAAGAGCTGAAGGGGTAATATAAACAATTGGTAGCATTAGGTGGGGCAGGGGTCGGGGTTGGGGGGTAAGGAGAGAGGCTACTTGAGAGTGTGGAGAAGTACATTAAGATAGGTGGGGAGGTTGTATGTTTCAAGTGAAGAGCATGAGGCATGTCAGGAGCATGCAATGGTTAAGGGCCATGGAGTAAATTAGTCTAAATAGAACAGGATATTCAGGTAAGGGAATATGGGGATACTCGAATGACGAGGGTATTTGGTGAATCAGATTGAAAAGAGCGTGGAAAATAAAAATAAGTTTAGACTTTATCCTGTAGGGAATGAGAAGCCATTTGGGCTTCTGAGAGGGAGAGTGACACATTGACGGTTATGGTTTTACAGACTGGCTTAAAGGGAGAAAATAATGGAAAAGAGAAATAAGTTAAGATGCTATTGAAATAGTCCAGCCGAGCACTGAGAGCTTAAACTTGAGCGGTGGCAATGGAAGTAGGAGGTGGATTTGTAAATAAAGCTGGGTTTTCTATAGTTTTAGACAGATATTAAAAAGTGTTAGTTTTTATGTTTAATTTTTCTATTTCTACTTCATATTTTCCAGACACTGCTCTGTTGGACATCAGGACTTCCTTAGCTGATGAAGGGGATCAGAATATGCCACCCCAAAATATGCCACTTTGGCTTAAGGATTATTTTGAACTGAAAGCAATTAAGAAATAGCAGACACAAGGGACACTCTCTGCCCTCCCCCTTACTGCCTGAGTGCAGGGCATAAATTTCCCTTTGTAAAGGTAGCATAAATTTCCATTTATAAACTTTTCTCCCTCTCTAGCACCAGAAAGAGAGCAATTTTAATCACCAGAGATGACCCTTATCACTGGAGATAGCACTGACTTGTGTCTGCATAACAAACCTTAATAAATAACCTTTATCTACCATACTTTTCCTAGTCACCTTCCCACAATTTACCATCCTAAAAGCCCAAACCACCCCCCTTTCCTTTGTCTAGTCACTTCTCCACAATTTATCACCCTTTGTTAAAGTGGTATATAAGTCCTTGGGTCTAACTCCCTCCTAGGGTTTTCACTTCTTTTCTGTGAAGCCCCCATGTACATGCAAAAGAAACCTTCCTCCTGTTACTCTGTCTTTTGTCAGTTTAATTTGCAGGCTTCAGGTAGTGAACCTGAGAGGATAGAGGACAAGTTTTTCTGCCTCTACACTGAACATTCAACGAAGCCCTCAAACAACTGATCAGTACTAAATCATGTGACCACTTTCATTTATAGCCTTGATTCTAAACCTAAGGTGGGTCCTAAGTGCTGCCTGGCAACCAGAATACATTTCTCTAGGAAATTCACTGGAGTGTGAGCTCTACTTGGGCAGGGATCTCTGTTCTGTTCACTGGTATATCCCAAGAACCTAGAATAGGGCCTGGCACATAGCATGTGTAGTGAATGTTATGGACAGGTGTTTTACACTTTTTCTTCTTTCCTCAGACCTCAAACCCTCAAATTCTCAGATCTCAGTACTCAGCTATTGGCCTGGCTACTTACTTCACTGAGAAAATGGAATTAGTCTGAGAATAATAGCTATGTACTCCCACAACAAAGTCAACCACCTCCCTTGCAACCTTACCCATATTTGCTCCTTCCCACTTATCACAAAGGACAGCTTGTCCCAGCTCCTATCTAAGTCTGACTATCCCAATTGTGCACTGCATCCCACTCTCTTCTGCCTACTCAAGATTTTGGTCCTGCAGTTGACTCCTCTCTCCTGCATCATCAGTTTTTCCTCTCAACTGGATAATTCCCATCAGGATACAGATTGGTCTAGGAGAAGGCCCTGAGGCAGAAAGTCAAGGGGTTCTCTGGTGTGTGCTTGGGTGCTGGCTACCTACATAGAACTGTCAAACAGAACTGCCTTTAGGTGGCCTTGGGCACCCAAATCATCTGCTGATGGAGTTGACTACAGTTTTCCCAATGCATAATTTTGTGTCTGACAGTTAGTAGGTGCTCAATAAATATTCACTGAAGAATGAATAATATTCCTCATCTTATACTGTCCCTCTCTTGACTATGCATCCTTCCAACTACCATGCCATGGTATGGTACCCTTATTCTGCACCCTTTTATAGAAAAATTCACAAGAGCATCGTTTATATGCTTGCTGTTTTCACTTTCTAGCTTCTTAGTCTCTCTTGACCTCACTCCAATTGTGCTTTCATCTCTAGGACTCTACTGAAACTTTGAGATCACCGATGACCTCCATTTTGCCAAATCCAATTCTTAGACCTCATTTACTTGACCATTCAAGCAATCATTTGACCTAGAGCATCACCCCTCCTTTTTTCCTCACTGGCTTCTCTTCCTCAGTCACATTTGCTGGTTCCTACTCAGCTCTCCAACATCTTAGTGTTGGAATGTTCCAGCTTCTGCCCTTAGACATCTCTTTTCTATCCCATTTATTCCCATATTTTACTTCCTAACCTGTATGCTAATGACTCTCAAATTTATATCCAGGTTCTGAATTTAAGACGCATGTATCCAACATCTCCTCTTGGATTTTGAATAAACATCTCTCTCTCTCTCTTTCTTCCGTTAAATTTCAGGTGCATAGAAATGAATTAATTATAACCTTTTGTTGATGCCACACTCATTTCTTGTTTGTTTGTTTTTTGGTTAATGATTGGCCTTCTTCTCAATTTATTTATTTATTGTTTTATTATTTTAAACACTATAATAAATATCTGTGAACATACCACCCAATACGGAAAATAGATAATAATGTAAGTTATCCTCTGTGATCTTCCTCAACCCCATCCCTGTACCACTTCCCACCCAGTAAACACCCTCTTACCATCTCCATTACCATAACTGCCCAAACCACCATTGGGCTCTCTCCTGGACTGATGCAATAGTCTTCTAACTGGTTTCCCTGCTTCTTTTCTTTTTCTTTTTCTTTTTTTTTTTTTTAGGTACGCGGGCCTCTCACTGTTGTGGCCTCTCCTGTTGCGGAGCACAGGCTTCCAGACGCGCAGGCTCAGCGGCCATGGCTCACGGGCCCAGCTGCTCCGCGGCATGTGGGATCTTCCCGGACTAGGGCACGAACCCGTGTCCCCTGCATCGGCAGACGGACTCTCAAATACTGCGCCACCAGGGAAGCCCGCCAATCTATTCTTTTTGTTGCATCCAGAGTGATTCTTTAAGGTAAGCTCATGTAAATTCTATGTAACTCTATTCATAATTTTCAATGGCTTCCCATCTCATGCAGGATAAAATCCAAAATCCTTATAATGGATTACAAAGCCCTATGTGATCTCACTCTCTGGGTCCTCATCTGCTACCATCCTTCTCTCTATTGCTTTGACCTAATGTCTTTGAAGTTGCTATTCCAACTGCCCACAATACTCTTTCCCAAAATATCTCCCCGTCACTCTTCCTTATTTTATTCAGGTTGTTACTCATCAGTGAAGCCTTCTCAGCTAATCTCTTCCTTAAGAATAGCATTCCTCCTCCAATTCCTGAGTCAGTTACCAACTCCCTTATTCTGTCCACTTGAACTTATTCCATGTATATTTGTTTATTTTCTGTCTCCTCCCAGTAGAAGGAATGTTCCATGGGGCAGGGACTTGTTCACCACTCTAACCCCTGTTGAGAATAATGTCTACTGCTGGGCAGGTACCTGTTGAAGGTTAGGTTCCCTGGGAAGCAGACAGGGTTAGTGTGCATGATTTCCATTAAGGAGGGCTCTTCAGATCAATAGGTATAAAAGGGAAGGGAAGGAAACAGAATTGGGCAGAGGAAGAAGTTGAGTGATGATATAGTCTTAATGAAGGCTTCAGCCAATCCTACAGGAAGCTCTGAAGCTGGGATGGCCCTTCAGAGCTGGGCTGGGCTTTTATAATCCATTAAGGTCAGTTATTCATGGGGATTGCCCTAGGAAGGGGGCATGGCCTTGCAGGAAGGGCTCTCTTTAGCTAGGCAGTTGTGTAGTGGGCTGACAGGTGAGCACTTACTGCCAACAGCACTTAATGCCAAGTGCATTCCCAGGATCTGGGGAAATAATTCCTTCATTTCCAGAGAGATCTAGGTGGCCTGCACAGCGCCCACCACAGCGCTCAGTAAAGTGGCTCAGCAGATGAACTTTTTGAGATCCAAGAACAGAGCAGATGGGGTGAGCGTTCATGACATGCAAAAGAGAAAGGAAAGGGGAACGAGGACAGGGAATCCTCATGCCCAAAGTCCTCCATTTGCCTGCTGTGGGCAGGACCCTGCGTGGGTGCTCTGTGATGGGATACAACGATACAAACAATGTGACCCTGCCCTGGAGAAAGAGAATGAAACCTAGGCACAAACATCCATGGTTCGAAGCAGTGTATTATAGCAAAGATGTGCTTAGGGAGAGAAAAGAGGAGAGGGCTCCTTCCAGCTAGGGGAGTGAGGGGAAGGATTGGGGCAGGCAACATAGGGCAGGCTTTTGAAGACTTGAGAGATGGATAAGGTTTGCTGGGCACAGCAAGAGGGAAGGCAGCCAGCAGGCTAAGAGGTGGTAGACCAAGGACTCAGATGCAGGAAATCCAGGCGATGGCATCAACAGGCCTCTCTCCTCTCTCTCCTCTGATACTTGGATTCTTGATCGCCCAGGAATCCCTCTAATGCCAACACAACATGTGCATTCAAGTTAAATCCTGAAAGAGGAAAGTGCTGCCTCTTTGCTACCAATTCTATCAGCCTCAGGGAGATAATCTGTAGAATTGTATGTGACTTGTTCTATTTTTAAAACTGTAATGAGTCAGTAAATCCAATCATCTGAACTATAAAACTGTCCATTGTATTTAGGAAATAGAACGTAGTATCTACAGAAGAGACCATGTCTTTCTGAAGAGAAACCAATGCAGTGGTAACTGAATACCAGGTTTAAAAGGTTTAGAATCAAACCAATAGGTGTAAAGATCATCACTAGTGTAAACTTACAGGTGAAGAAATTGATCACAGAAGGGTGATGGGGCTTCATCAAGGTCACACAACAGATGGGTGTCAGGTGAAACCCAAAAATAAGCACATGCCCCCAGGCCCCTTAAAGGGCCGCCTAGATCTTTGGCCAGGGCTCCTTAAAGGATGCCTGCCTTTCCCCTTTAAGGAATAGCCGCAGAAGCCTGCTGGCCAACCCAGCTGCCGGTCACGTGGCCGCTCCCACCTCATTGTACCAGTGCGAAGAGGAAAGACAGCAGTGAGTCAGCTCGGAGCCTGGTTTCCTGTAGCTCACGAATGGCAAGCTGAGAAATTAACTACGGGCTTTGGGCTTTATCATTGGGGTAAGAGAATGATGTACAAGGCCCTGGCAGAGGTCATTAGCCTTGGCTCTGATGGAAAAAAGAAAATCCTCTAAGGGTGTGATTTCAGAGAGTGAAAAATAGTCACTTGAAACCATGGTTTCAGCTTGAGGTTCCAGCTTGGCTTTGTGTTTTCCCGCCAGTGAACCGATTTCTGTTCACCTAAGCGAATCACCCTGAAGAGCGCCTTGCTGATCTGCTTCTAAAACAGCCCCCCACTCCCCCTCCTTCCACTATAAATGGATCCACTATTTCTTAAGGAACTGGATCCTTTTGATTGTTCAGTGGCAACCTCTGGCTTTAGCTTGGAATGTGTGGGATATCTCGTGACCAAAACAGGGGCCAAGATGAAGATTGGACGCCAACAGTGGTCACTGCAGTGTTTGACTACCTGGAATCAGAAACTTGATAGGAAATGACATGGTTAGAAATAAGGCCTGAAAGATACAACAAGCCCATATACGAAATGACACAAAGTCTGATCTCAGGCCTCAAGAAACTTAGAAGCAAGTAGAGGAAATAAGAGAGGGAAGCCCCAAAACTCTAAAAGTAAATTATTATTTATTCCCATGTCGTGGCTTTAACTAGTGGAGGGGCTTCGTTTTGCTCAGTAGTGAGCCAGGTGACCACAAATCCCTGGGTGTGGGCCATGTGAATCTTTTATTTGTAATTATGGGGATTCAAATGGTCCATGCTTGGCCTACAAGTTACAGCAGGGACCAAGTTCACATACTTTGTTGGTCTTTATTATCCTATTTGTCAGGATCCTCCATAATGTCCTATTTCAAGAAGAAATTTTGGTAGAATGATACTTTCTAGAATTACATTCAGTTTCAAGTGTTATTATTAATGGATAAAAGCCAGCTAGTGCTAATCCAGGAAGAAACAGTTACACACCTGTTGTAGTTGTGGGATGCAGCTTATTAGACACTAGTGGCCTACTGGCTCGAGTGTTAATTAGTCAAAATGTTTTTGCTCATCTAAACATCTTAGATCAGCCACGTCCTATGGGTCATATTTTGGAAACTCGAGTTTAAGATGTCAATCATCCATCCCTCGAGTTTCTATCCTCCCCTCTTATTCACTTTTTTATACCCAACTTTTGTTCAAAGGTGGGTTAACCTTTTGTTCTGTTTGTTTAAACGTGGATTAACCAGGCCAATAACTAGTTTCTCATGTCCTAGGTATCTATTCCTATCACTCTCCTTATGGCTGTAAATGTACTCAATTCAATCATTTCCTAATATTCAGACTTAACAAAGATGTGTCATGGTGGTGGTGATGGTGATAGTATGTGTGTCTTTGTAGGTTAGTCACTACCTAATGGATGCCAAGTTTTCTCAGGTGTAAATTGGGGACGATTATTCTGAACTCAAGGCTTGATGGGACAATTAAATTAATAGATACCATGTGTGAGAATCTTTGACACACAGTACGTTACCTTCAATATGCTTGTGAATCTGAATTCATGGGGGTCTTTCCACACTCGGCCACACCTGCCATCAGTTATTTGGGTTGAGTCAATGCGGCCTCAGGCATCTGTGCCTAAGAGTGCCCTTTGGAAGGTGGGTACATGGCTTGTTATGGAAGGCCATGTGGCAGAGTGGGGAACCTGATTTTCTGGTCAGGTCCCGAGCTCTGGAATTGATCACACTGGGCCAGCACTTCTGAATCCATCTCATGCCAGCCTTTTCCTGGACATTTGCCTTCTCACAGTAAGTTTTTCCTCTTTCGTGTGTCTCCTAGTCCCTCAAGGCAGCTACGCTTTCAATCAGCAATCATTTATTGAGTAGGTTCCAGGCAAAAGTATTGTGTCAGATGTTGTGAGGGAGACCCAGAGAATCACTCTTGTTGAGCATTTGCTATGCACCAGGCTCTAAGCTACGTCTTGTACATACTTTATCTCTTTTACAAAGATGAATAAGACAGTCTCCAACCTTAAGAATGGAAAGTCATTAAAGGAAAATAAGACTTATACACTTGAAAAGATAACTATTCCAAGTGTATAAAACTGAAAATCAAGACATTAAGAGCAATGACAATTTAGAGAAAGCAGAGTTCAGTGATAAGAGATGGGACCATGAAAGTCTTCAAAAGGGAGGATGGGTTTGATACGGGCCTTGAAGGATGGGCAACCTTTGGGCAGGGAGAGAGGAGAAAACAAGGCTACCCACTTGGGGAACTGCACGAGCACATCTATTGGAAAATGGGAATGAATCCCAGCTGTGCCCATCAGATGGTGAGGAGCCCATTTCTGAGGATGGGGTAGGATGATCCCCACCAAACACACACACACACACACACACACACAC